TGATACAGGGAAGCTTATACTGGTCTAACAGTTAGTCAGGAGTCCCTGGATTGTGCAAACCGTTAAGCACTCAGCTGCAAACTGAAAGGTTGGCAGCAAGTCCCCCCAGAGGTGCCTGGGAAGAAAGACCTGGTGATCGACTTCTGAAAAATCAGCCATTGAAAACCCTATGGGGCACAGTTCTACTCTGACACACATGGGGTCACCATGAGTTGGAATCAACTTGACGGCAACCAGTTATTATATGAGTTAGTAGACCAGCATAGTTAGCTGTGTGGTCTTTTCTCAGTCTCTTCACTTCTCACTTTTCTCATCTGCTTAAAGAAAGAATAATGATTAGATTTAGGAAGACGAAGTATAGAACAGCCTCTGGGTTGCTACAAATTGATGAGTTGTTTTGGCTGAAGTTACAAAAAAAAAGGAGCAGACCTCAGATGGGTCGGGGACAGATAGGTGTTGGTTTAGGGGTTCCCTTGTTAGGGATCCCAGAACTCTGACCTCCATCCTAGGAAGTGACCTGAAAGGAACAAAAGGGGTTTTTTCCCCCAGAGATTCATTTGGGGTGATTTGTTTGGGGCTGTGAGGGGCTGCTGTGTCTCCCCCCATGTTTGCTGCTGCCTCCTCCTGGATGCCCCCACCTGTGCCCACCATAAAGGAGATGAAGTTTTGAGCATCAGAGCACAAGGGCTCCTCTCTTTCCCCTGCCCCTGCGTCTGTTCCATACCCTTTTGATCCAGAAGCTTCTGCAGAAGATGAAGTCCTCTTGCTGAGAAATTTCTACCTCAAGTTTCCCTGGCTTGCATCCTCCCCCTGGGATTACTACTGGTATGTCCCTGATCACAGTGCCCAGCAGAGCAGAGGGGCCGACTCCATCCTGCTGTGCCCAGCCGCTGGGATGGGACAGGAAGGCTCAGGGCCTTCAGAGTCCTGGAGGCCCTGGCCTGAGATGTGGCGCCCCCCGCAGGCTGTGGCAGGAGAGGCCAATGACAATTGGCCACTGGACACCCGGTGTAGCTTGTGGGGGAGACCCCCATCACTTCCATTTCTTGAAGCTCCTAGAATAGTAAAAAAAGAAAAAAGAAAAGAAACAGCGTTACTGCATTGTAGTATATTTTAAATGTTTACTTTCAACAGAGTAACGCTTTTAACACCCACACAGAGCAGTGTGACTGTGCTAATCACAAGACAACAGAAATTTATTAAAAAAAAAAAAAAAAAAAAAAAAAAACAAGCAAACCATCGGGTACTGAAGGCTGGAAATGGCATACCAGTCTAAAGTCAATTGATGAACGTGGCTTCTTTTAACCCTGCCTGTGTTTGCCTAGGTTGTGTCTTAGCCTCATTTGGGAGAAGGTTGAGAGTTTACCTCTGAGGAGGCCCTTGGTGGTTATGGCACCCCAGCCCTCCCCAGCACTGGGCCTGGCCTGAGGTCTCCACAGGTGGCTCTCTGGGGCCTGGGATTGCTCACATCTCTTTCCCGTCATCTCAAGGTGTCCTACGGTAAAGTGTCAGGACCAGCATGGAAGAGCAGGTGCCTGGAGGTACCCAGTGGGATAGTGAGACTGGTGAGAACAAGCTTGTGGGCTTGGTGCGTCCCTGTATGAATTAATTAACTGCACTCTGCCCCCTGCTGGTCATCACGGAAATGCGTGACATTCATCTAGACATTGGTCAGTGATCTAGGGAACCCAAGATGTCTCCGACACTTCTCGGGGCATCCACGAGGTCAAAGCTACTTTCATAATAATAATAATATGTTTAATTTCATTCTCTCACATGAGTATAGAAGATGAAAAGTTCATTGATATGTTTTCAGATGCGTCTTAGTTTCTTTGTGCTGCTGTAACAGAAATTCCACAAATGGGTAGCTTTAAAGAGCAGAAATTTATTTTCTCACAGGTTATGAGGCTAGAAGTTTGAATTCAGGACACCAGCTATAGGGGAATACTCTTTCTCTGTTGCCTCTGGGGAAAGTTCGTTGTCTTAGCTATTGTGGCCCCAGTGTTCCTGGGTTCCTTGGTGGTCTTCATGTGGCATCTGTCTTCCCCTGTTTGTGCTTGCTTGTCTTGTGTCTGTGCTCCTCTTTATATCACTCAGAAGTGATTAGGTTTAACCAGAGACTTCATCAGCCTGAGACCAGAAGAACTAGATGGTGCCTGGCTACCACCAATGACCGCCCTGACAGTGAACACAACAGAGAGTCCCTGATGGAGCAGGAGAAAGGTGGGGTGCAGAACTCAAATTCTAGTAAAAAGACCGGACTTAATGGCCTGACTGAGACTGGAGGAACCCCGGAAAGCATGGCCCCCAGATTCTTTATCAGCCTAGAATTAAAACAATTTCCGAGGCCAACTCTTCAGACAAAGATTGGACTGGACTGTGGGACATAAAATGATACACTCGTGAAGAGTGTGCTCCTTAGCTCAAGTAGATACATGAGACTAAATGGGCAGCTTCTGTCCAGAGGTGAGATGAGGAGGCAGAGAGGGTTAGGAGCTGGTTGAATGGACGTGGGAAATCAGGGGTGGAAAGGTGGAGTGTGCTATCACAGTATAGGGAGAGCAATTAGGGTCACATAACAACGTATGTAGAAATTTTTGTATAAGAGACTAACTTGAAATGTAAACTTTCACTTAAACTACAACAATCAACAAAAGAAGTGATTAGGTTTAGGACACACTCTACACTGATAATGGCCTCATTTGCATAACAAAGAAAACCCTAGCTCCAAATAGATTACATCTACAGGTATAGGGGTCAAGACTCCAATACATGTTTTGGTGGGACCCAGTTCAATCCATAACAAGATGCTTAAGAAATTACCATTTGTTGAATTTTGATGCAGTTGTCAAAGAAGAATATCCACAATTATCTGAAAAGACTGTTAAAATTCTCCTCCCCTTTCCATCTACAGTACGTATCTGTGAGAGACTGGGTATCCTTCAAGTACTTGAAACAAAACAACGTATCGCAAAAGACTTAAGAAGCAGATAGGAGCATCCAGTCGTCTTCTGTTAAGCCAGACATTAAATAGATATGTAAAAATGTAAAACAGTGCCACTCTTCTCACTAAGTGTTTCTGATTCAAAAGTGTAGTTAGTTTTCATAAAATACGTTAATGATGTGACCCTCTAATGAGTTTTTTTTAAATGAATTAAATATTTCTTAATTTTCTCAGTTTTATTTCTAATATTATAAATATCAGTAGACATAGCCCACATAAACAGAAATTCTTCAGAGTCCTCAATCGTTTTTTATGACAGTTTTATTGATATATAATTTATATACCATGTAATTCACCCTTCAAAGTGAACAATTCCGTGGTTTCTAGTATATTCACGGAGTTGTGAACTGTCATCACTGTCTAATTTTAGAACATTTCATCACCCTGAAAAGAAACCCCATACCCATTAGCAGTCACTCCTCTTTCCCCCAGCCCCTGGCAACCGCTAATCCACTTTCTGTCTCTATAGGTTTGCCTACTCTCAACATTTCATATAAGTGGAATCATACAATATGTGACTTCTTTCACTAAGCGTAGTATTTTCAAGAGTCAACCGTGGGGTAGCAAGTATCAGTACTGCATTCCTTTTTATAGCCGGATAATATTCCATTACATGAATATACAACAGTTTGTTTATCCATTCATCAATCGATAGACATTTGGGATGTCTCTACCCTTTGGTTATTATGAAGAATGCTGCTGGGAACATTCAAGTACAAGTTTCTGTGTGGACGTGTGTTTTCATTTCTCTTGCATATATACCTAGAAGTAGAATTGCTGGGTCCTATGGTAATTCTATGTTTAACATTTTGAGGAAGTGTCAAACTATTTTCCAACTTTAATCATTTTTAAGAGTGTGAAAGGGTCCTGAGTTGGAGAACCACTGGTCTATATGGGATTAGTACAGGGAGTGTGGATGACTCATTGCAGCCCCTCATCCTTGCTATAGGGTTGAGATACCCTCACACTCATCTCTCTCTCACCCCATTTCCTTCCTCCCAATACACACACACACACACACACACGACTTGGTTGTGTTCTTGGTGGCAAGGACAAAGCCAGCTAAGCTAGACTGTGTACAAGTTAAACTGTCAGAAAATTCTGGAGCAGAGTCACTGCCCAACAGGATTCCAGGGGGTGTCACTCCCATTGTGGTCCCTGGGGATGGTACCCCTGGAGTTGTGCTGCCGCTGCCACTCTCTGCCCTCCTCCCTGCTTTGGAGAGCACAGTGATCTCTCAGCGGGAACCTTTTGGGGAGCAGAGCCCATGGAGGCCTTGTTTGTAGAGCTGAGGAAGGTGGCTAGCTTCAGCCACCCATGTGCCTTGGGCTGCCACTCAAGGTCCCTCAGGCTTAGCAGCAACATAGGGGCTTGCCCAGGCTGTCAAGCCATTGGTCCCCTGGCCTGGGCCCCTCCTGCAAGGTGATATGCTAATAGAGCAGGGGCTGTGTTTAGGAAGAACAGGGGTCTAGTGCCCTGCAGGGCTTGCCAGCTAAGTTCACAGTGACAAGGGTGTGGCCCTTCTATCCTTTCTGCTTCTAACCCTTTGATGTCCTGTAGTCATGTCCAGGAGCTCTGGTGGTGCAGTGGTTAAGAGCATGGCTGCTAACAAAAAGATCAGCAGTTTGAATCCACCAGCTGCTCCTTGGAAACCCTGCGGGGCAGTTCTACTCTGTCCTGTAGGGTTGCTGTGAGTCAGAATTGACTCGATGGCACCATGGTTTGGTTTAGTCATGTCCATTCTTGTCACTTAGCCACATGACGCACTCAGTTACCTCTCCTAGAATGATTACCCTTTTGAAGGAGGAGCTTTGAGTGAGCTGCCTTTAGCCTGAGGAATGAGCCGCATGGTGGGTTTTCAGGCATCAGTGGGGGCAACATATGAAGATAGGTTGGAAATGCCAAATATTTGGTGCCCCTGAGTTCAGAGGGACTGTGTCTCCATCTGCAATATCCTCAGTAATGCTCTTGCTTTTTTTTCCCTCTTCTCACTGCAGATGTGACTCTTGGTCCTTGGCTGGGTGCCCCGAGCCATGGCCGACACCATCTTCAGCAGTGGGAATGACCAGTGGGTTTGCCCCAACGACCGGCAGCTTGCCCTACGAGCGAAGTGAGTACCTCCAAGTCTCTGCCAGGCCTGCCCTTCCCTTGCCTCCCTGCTTCCCTCCTTGCTTTGGCAAAATTCATTGCCAGGGACCCAGAAACAGAAGAGATGTTTGGAGAGACGTGCCTGTCTAATGCACATCCGTGCCAGGCCCTAAGCTGGGCAGTCCCCAGCCGTTCACTCATTTAACCCCCATGTGGAATGACCTCATCTTGCAGATGAAGAAAGTGAGGCTGAGCCCTTTATGCCAAGTCACTTCACTTGTAACCCAAACCTGGGTCCATCTGACTCCCACATCTGTTCTTTCCTCCACTGCAGGCTGCCAGGCACCAGCCACCTTGTTTACCACCTTCTCTGTTATGAGTATGAACTCCTGTCTTGGAGCCTTATGTCTGCCAGCCCCTTGGGAGGGGGGCTTTGGTCTCTGGTGCCCACTTCAGAGCTTGGTGCCAGGCACAGACAGGACAGAACAAAGATGTGTCAGATGAGTGAAGAGCTGCCCCTCCAGCTGAAACATTCCGCCTCGAGCCATCCCAGGTCTCATGTCAGTGTCTCTCTAGCTTCCTGGTTCCCATTTGTCCGTTTAGGGGTTCCAGTTTTCCTGTTACCCTTCAGCCTGGTGACCCCCTCAGCTCTAGCTAGGTGAGGCCGTCTCTACTCACTGTCCACCTATGGCTGGAGACTAGGGGCTCCCAGTTGCCGCTCTTGCCTTCCAGTCCCTTCCCCACCCCTCCAAGGGACTGGGAGTCCCAGGCGTCTGATAAGTCCAAGAGTGCCCCTTCAGCTGTCAAAACACCCCAATTACGGGATTCAGCATTTCCCAAATGGGAGCAAGTTTAAGAAATTTGCAGTTAGATGTTATGAGACTGCAGAGGAACCAAGATGGAACAACAAAGAGGGATATAAAAATTAATCCGAAATGCCCCAGAGGAGCAGAGTCACATGTGATTTGCAGGAATCTTTGCACAACAGTTCATTTGTCCCCCTTGCCTGGATGGCTCCTCAAGTAAATCCCTTTGGCCTCCACCACTCAGCCCCTCAGAGCCCCCACACGGGGAAGGAACAGGGATGAAGTTGTTCCCTCTCCCTGTTTTTCCTCTGACCACAGTGAGACGATAGGCCCTCCCTGGCAGGAGGCTATGAGATGCTGGTGAGAGCCGTCCGCCCTGGCTGTAGTACACGGGCTCGGCGTGACTCCACCCGGCCTCCTCCAACCTTCCCTTCAGTTCTCCCTGACCTCCTCTCGCTCTCAGCAGCAGCCAGAAGCTGTTGTACCACCTTTTAAAGAGCAAATGCTTTTATCTCCTCCCCGCAGAGTTTGTACCGCCTGGCAAAGTCTCCGAGAGGAAAGTGGTACAAACCCGGGGGCTGCAGACCTGTGAGCTGTGCCCCAAGGGTTCCTCTGGGAAGCCTGGGGAAATCACCTTCCCCCTCCATCGCAGGAACTTCCCTCTAGCCCTCCATCAAATGTTTTCTAATCACCTACCAGATGCCAGGCAATGGCTGCACAGCAGCAAACAAGACCAACGTGGCCCCTTATCTTAAGGAGCTGATGGGGAGAAGTGAGCATTATAGAAATAATTAGACAGGTGTACGTGCTTTCACAGTGATAATGCGACGGGGCGGGGCAGGGGTTGGGAAGGCTTCCCTGAGTGTGTGATGATTATGTCGAGACCCAGAGGAGGGGCAAATGTTAGGTGGAAATTAGAAGGTACAGCATGTGCAAAGGCCCTGGAGTGAAAGGAACGTGGCCTGTAGAGGACCTGAAAGTAGCCCACTGTGGCTTGAATGCAGAGAGTGAGGGGGCAAACGGTGTGAAAGGAGGATGGTGAGGCAGGCAGGGCCTGCCCTCTAGAGACTCATATTCTGGGGGTGGGGTGGGGGGAATGGAGGACCCAAATGCCACATACTGATCTTTAATCCTAGTGATGGAGATATGCTTGGGTCTTATGGGAACTCTGAGACTGGACTCCTAACTTGTCTTGAAGGGGATCTAGGAAAAACTTCCTAGTGAAGGCCATCTCTGAGAGAAGTCTTAAGAATAGGATCAATTCTACTCCTAGCTGTATACCCAAAAGAATTGAAAACAGGGACTCAGACAGATTGTTGTATACCAGTGTTCACTGCAGCACTATTCATGATAGTCAAAAGGTGGAAACCTCTCTGCTACTTTCTGTCTCTGTGAATTTGCCTATTCTAGGTACCTCAAACAAGTGGAATCAGACAGTATTTGTTCTTTTGTGTCTGGCTTTCGCTCAGCCTGGTATTTTCAAGGTTCATCTACATCGTGTCATGTATCGGAACTTCGTTCCTTTTTATTGCTGAACAGTATTGCATTGTGTCCCGCATTTTGTTCATCCATTCATTTGTCAATGGACACTGGGTTGTTTCCACCTTTTGACTATTGTGAATAGTGCTGCTGTCAACATTGTTGTACAGGTCTCTGTTGGAGTCCCTGCTCTCAGGTCTTCTGGATATATATCTAGGGGTGGAATTGCTGGGTGATATGGTTGTTCTATGTTTAACTTTTTGAGGACCTGCCCAGCTTTCCCACAGTGGTCCATCTCAGCTTCTTATATGACACAGATTTGAGTATTCCTTCTTTTCTTGATAGTCTTCCACACTCACCCTTGAAACCTCACACGCTGTGGTGCTAGCCTTCTCCGTTTGTACCGTGGTTGCATTCCATGTTCCTGCCTCCCAAGGTGCTGAGATGGTGCTGCCGTCTTTGCCAAGGCCCATTAGTTGGAGGATGGCAGAGCCAGCACTTGGAGCCTGGCGTCTGCCTTGTCTCCGTTCCCTGCACCCTTGGCCCCCACCCACGGTAGAACTGTCTCCTTGGGTGTTCTCAGATTCATCTCGGGGGGCTTATGGATGTGGTGGTTGGAGGGATGCCAGTGTGATCACTGGGGACGCCCCAGCACTCTCTGGGCTGTTCTTTCTTGAGGCTGCAGACAGGCTGGTCCGTGCACACCTACCAGACGGAGAAGCAGAGGAGGAGCCAGTGCCTCAAGCCGGCAGAGGTGGAGGCCATCCTGCAGGTCATCCAGAGGGCCGAGAGGCTCGATATCATGGAGCAGCAGAGGATCGGGTAAGGACTGTGCCCATGATGGGCAGGAGCGAGATGGGGTGAGAGGAAAGCAAGGGTATTAGTGCAAGACCAGTGGACCAGGAGTCTGGTTTTATGGGTTCTGGCGCTGACTTTGCACCACTGGGATGAATCAGAAGGTCACAGACTGTAACCCCTCCTCAGCTTCCCTGGCTGAACACCCTTGGAACCTGACACCCCTAAGCAACCCACCCAAGCCTCCATTTTTCTCTATGTAAGATGGATATCCAGCACCTGTCTGTCAGTTTGTCATACTGTGGTGGCTTGTGTGTTGCTGTGATGCCAGAAGCTATGCCATCCATATTTCAAATATCAGCAAGGTCACCCATGGTGGACAGATTTCAGTGGAGCTTCCAGACTAAGACAGACTAGGAGGAAGGGCCCGGTGATCTACTTCTGAAAGTTAACCAGTGAAAATCCTATGGATTACAGCAGAATGTTATTCAGTATCGTGCTGAAAGTTGAGCCCCCCAGGTTGGAAGGTACTCAAAATACACAGTGGCTGTTACATTGGACTCAAGCATGCACATGATCTTGAAGATGGCACACAACTGTTGTGTAGACACCAGGCTGTGGGGAGGATGAGGGAAGGTGGTGAAACACACTTTGCACACTAAGGGTCCGCCATAACTCAGCTGAGGGAGGCTGTTAAGTTGAGGTTACCTGTGACATGCCCCACCAAGTTGAGGGGGGACATCTCCAAAAGGAGACCTCTCCAGCTTGTCCTAAGCCCTTCTCCTGGCCTCCAGGGTCCAGCGCTGACTACTACACAGACTTTAAACTTTTTTTTGTGTGTGAAAATATGCACACCAAAACATACACCCATTCAGCAGTTTCTACATGTACAACTCAGTGACATTGGTTACATTCTTCATGTGTGTCACCATTCTCTCTGTCTCTTCCCAAATTATTTCACCACCATTACCTTAGACTCAGTGCCCCATAAACTTCTCATCTGTGCCTTAGAGTTTCTATTGTCCATTTGATCTCCTATAGATAATTCTTTAAGAGAACACAGTGCTCAAGGCAAGCATTCTTTACTAATTGAGCTAAACTGTTGTTTGGTGTAAAGATGATGACCTTGGGATAATTTCAGTTCAAAGTTCAGAGATTATCTCAGGGAAATGGATTTGGGGGTTCCTCCAGTCTCAATGAGTCCAATAAGTCTGGATTCCACAAGAATTCCAAATTGATCAGGATCTATCTGTTGAGTCCTTGATCAAACCATTCCATAATGGTAGCCCATCCATTTCTTCTGGTGTCATGGCAAAGGATGCAGTAGTTCATGGAGGCAATTAGACCTGCAGTCCATTTCCTCCTCCAATTCATGAGTCTTCCTCTGCTGCTCCAGGCTAGTACAGACCATTTGTTGGATCTTGTATGGCCGCTTTCAAACTTTTAAGACCCCAGACACTACTCAATGAGTCTTTAAACATTTTTGTTATGTGTTTTGTTCTTTGTTTACATACAAAAGTAATTTGTGCTTTGTGGAAAATTGGAAAAACACAGAAAAACACGAGTTAGAAAACAAAATAGATTGCCTTGGGCAGGAATTAATTTGATTCTGGCCTCCCTATTTTTCTTCCATTTATTTTTTTTCTGTTAAATATATGATCATTAAAAAAAAAAAAAATCAGACATTGTAGAAATGCACAGTTTTAGGAAATGAGGCTCCCATGGTGGTATCCCTGCAAAGGTAACTGCTGTTCCTAACAGTTTGCAGTGCGTGCCTCAGCCATACTGGCATAGTGCTATCACTTTATTACAAAAAGGCTTTATATCATGCATATAGTTGTATTAGCCCTTCTTTTCTTTTTAAGCTAACGTTCCCACAGCCCTGCCCTCTCACAGATGATGCTGCAGGGCCCTGCAAGGCACTCTTCAGATAGCATATGCCCATGCAGAGATGATTGACATCCCACTGTTAACATCCCTCGACTCCCCCAGGAGGGTTTGCTGGAAGCAGGTGGGGTGTATGTGTAATGATGGGTTCCCCTGTGCCAGGGAAAGCGTTTGCTGGCCCCTCAGCCATCTGGGCTGCCGTCTTTGCCTTCCTGTTCCACCTTAGTGAACTTCTCCCATTGTCTGGCCCCACCTGTGAGCATGGGTTTGGCAGGGGTGTGGGAATTACCCAGAAGGCAGTACCTCAGGTTAATCATCTGAGATGGAGGAGGTGGGTCCTGTGTTTTTACATGAGTTAGGAGGCATGAGACAAAAAGGTCATACTGACGCAGGGTCCCTAAGAAAATGCAGGTCATAGGAGGGCTAAAGCTGGGTTTGCCCCCAGCAGGTCGCTGGATTAAGGATGGTCGCTCCTAGCCAGAGCTGCTTGCTGGAGGGCGTGCGGGGAAAGTGGCAGCCCCCACAGTCCACTCTGCCCTCTCGGTCACTGCGGCAGTGCCTGGTCATCTCAGGGGGAAGAGTAGGGTCGCTGTGAGAGTGAGGCCTGGGCCAGACAGCCTGGGTGTTGTGGATCCTGTCTCTGCCTTTTAGGGGCAGTGAGACCCTGGCAAGTAACTTCACATCTTTGAGCCTCACTCAGTCTTCTCATCTTTGAAATGGGGAAAACAGGGCCCTCCTCACTTGGGGACTGTGAGAGTTAGAGGAGATAATATACCCATAGTCTGTCCTTCATTCATTCCAGAAATTTCACTGAACCGCCACAGTAGTCAAAACAGCCTGGTACGGGTACAACAACAGATACATAGACCAATGGAACAGAATTGAGAATCCAGACATAAATTCATCCACCTATGAGCGGCTGATATTTGACAAAGGCCCAAAG